TATATAACACACATTCCAAGCATTCCTTTAACAGATAAGTTACAAATCAATGGACAGGGGATTTAGCGAGCAATGAATAAAACTGTTGGGCTGCACGCGTAAACTAGTTATTTCAATACATATCAAAGTACAAAACGAAGCAACAATTCTGAGTAATGAACAATGAAAGTCACTAATGTAATTATTTAAAATAAATCCAGAAATTCGGACACAAATGAACTAGCTCGAACCCCACGAGCAAAAAGAAATGCACTAACATTACTTTCAAATTTCTAGGGAGTCGCTCAAATCAAGACCTATAATTCGGACAATTTCGTCTATTGTGACCCGTCTGATGACAATTTCGACATCTTCTTGGTTCGTCTGCATCCCTTTCATCCATCTCATTCCGAATTCGTCTAACTCGAACTCGCCCTGCCCGACGTGAAACAAATTTGCTCGGGTCAGCCTGCAGGTCCCACCCAGCCCGTTGCCAAGTATCTTGATGCGGCAGTGGGAAAAACTTCCCTGAATACTGGACGGCCCACATTGTCTTGGTAAAATGCTGGTCAAGAAGCAATCTCGGATTGTCACCTCTATTCCTGCACACCGCCAAAGCGTGTGAACAAGGACGCCTGTATATCTGCCACTTTCCACACGAGCATGTCTTATCAAAAAACCTGATGGTTTTCGTATTGCCTCCTTTACCATCGACACGCCGCCCTGTGATGACCTTGTATACGCCCGATGGGCCATCGAACTCAACGACTCTGTGGGCGCCTGCCTTCCGCTCAGCAACTGTAAAACGCCGCCATATCTTTGGGGGAAAAGGGTGGCGACAATGTGAAACATCTTCCCTTCTCGTCTTAAATAACTCAACTGTTCGATGAAATGTCATATCAATGCATGCACGAATTGGCAAATGACGCGTCCTGCGCAAGACATTATTATAGCTTTCGGATATGTTGGTAGTTAGAATACCCCAACGTCGGCCATCGTCGCACCACTTATCTGGACTAATGGCTGACAGATAATTCCAAGCATCTGGAAACATGCTTCGTAGTTCTCTCCTGAACATCCGCCACTTGCGTAATTGTCTTGCCCTTCCCATTGCCCAACACAACTTGCGAAGGTGTAAACCTTTGAAGTGTGTCATCAAATTGCTCCTAACATGTCGCAGGCAAAATCTATGGTACGCTAAAGGTTCCTCCCAATAGTCAAAGTGTGTCATGGTATAGATGATACCATGATGGCGATCAGAAATGACACAGATAGGATGTCGATCAAGCGCCACATTATATCTTAATTGTTCCATGAACCACGACCAACTGGAAATCGTCTCCTCATCCACTATGGCATAAGCAATTGGTAGAACGTGGTTGTTCGCATCTTGAGTGACTGCAACAAGGAGTTTGCCCTTGTATTCGCCACGCAAATGAGTGCCATCAACGCATATAACCGGCCTGCACATGTGGAATGCTTCAATAGCCGGCCCAAACGCCCAAAATACATACTTAAAGGTCTTAACTCGATCCGAACTATCCGAATGATGTGACCACTCTACCACGGTGCCTGAATTGGATGAAACCAGGGCATCAAGATACTGTGGTAGTTCGAAAAAATTCGCCTCCCAAGATCCAAACACAAGCTCAATTGCTTTACGTCTGGCATACCAGGCTTTTTTGTAAGACACATCAACCTTCAAGTTTTCTTTAACGTCACTTAGTATGTTCTTGACCTTTAATCCAGGGTCATCTTCAACCCGACGGAGGATGTGCCTTGAAATAACGGAAGCTGTGAGGCTTGTATTGTTATTTCTAATCATGTCACCCAAGCAGTTATGGTCATTGACCCATTTTGTAATTTGCCACATTCCATGGGTCTTTTTCTTTACGGCTCTAACACACCAGTCGCATGGTGGATACGATGGCGCAGTTGAAGTGGAAGAAATTCTTTCAATTGATGATTTGCATTTAGCAAACCACGTGTTACTCTTACTCTCAATAACTCTGAACTCCCTATTCTGATTGATGGACCACAGTCTAACTGCTCGGCTGAGCTGCTGCTTACTCTCAAATCTCATATGGAGACGTATATTATTATTCTCCTAACTGAATGTTACAATACGCTCCAATCCATCCTCCTCTTCTATATCATCATCATCTATACTACCAAGATCGGAGAAAAAGGCCATTCCCCTTGGCACATATGCAGAGCTGCCAGCTGGGCTATTGCGTCTGTCTTCTTGGAACATATCGAGGTTTACTCTTAAACCCCCACCTTCATGCTCTTCATCCGAATCACTACCAGACACATCTTGCGACTCCGACTCTTCAACCTCTTCCGCATCAACTTCCCGGTCATCGTCTTCCGGATCATCTTCTTCAGAGGCACGGAGTCTATCATGTATACTAGCATATAGATCATCTTCAGCCGAACTACGACAACCTTGACCAGGGTTATAATCGATCCCATGTGGAGAAATATGGCTTGATGGCCCTGGATCTTCAAAACTTGGAATCGAATCCAGGCCATGAAAATATTCCTGGGCATCCATGGACCCTGATGTGAGTCTTGGTTCTAATGAATACATAGATCGATCATCATGCATATAGTGACATGCCGATGAAGTCTCTGGAACGACTGAACTAGAACCAAAGTTAAACTTTGTTAGATCCATGAATGCATGTACAAGCGACATCATTGGACCAACATTACCTATTGGTCCAGTGAATACGTTATTAACTACAGGCATTTGGACGATTTCTTCCTTCTCGATATAAATCTCCGCCATGTATGAAACTCATTCGATCCAAAGATCGTACATTACATCAAGAGTTTCATCATCCACCACTGCGGAAACAGTATATTTGGAACTCTCCAACGGTTGACGAAGAAACAATTTCAGCTTGAACACCCCTTTATCGACCCCAATATAGTGGTAAATCCTGTCACCAACTCCCCGTATCCAATTCTATGCCTCAAAGTGAATGTCCGGTTGGAAGTACGAGGCAAATAACAAACGAAGTCACCCTCGTAATGTATTTGTCCTCCCCAGTATAGGTTTACCCGCAGAGGTCTTTCTACAGACATGTCTGTGAAATGTATCCCTATTTTTTGGACAATAAATAAAAATTAGTAGTCCAAGGATCCAAACAAATGAAAGAGAGTGGACTCTAGGTCGAAATTGGAACTATTAAATAGACTAATTTCGATCCAAATGTTTATGAAAAAATTGAAAACATGTATGAAATATACTATAAATGACGATACGAATAGTCTAAAACTCCGAACGAAGTTTTTGGAAAAATTGGACAGAGCCTCCCTTAAAAATAGACTAAAACTCTCTATCTGCAAATCCAAACAGGGTAAGAAATGTACAAGCGTAAGAATTGTACCGGAAGTTATATATATTTGGGCTCCACATTCACACCGCATAACAAGATCCACATTGACAATGATGTGATATTATACCAATGAATCTTACAAAATTAATGTTTTTCCCTGTAACTTATTTTGCCACTTTTTTAGCATTATAGATTTTGCCAATACCAAAAAACATTACAAGGTTGGTCAGTGAATTTCAATCCATCAATTCGCCTTAAAATAAATCGGTATTTCATGTTCTACCGCCCTTTTCTACTTAAACAAAATTAAACAAACCATCGTCTCAACGAAGTGACCGAAAATATCCATAGTTGTAATATAACATAAATTAGCTAATGGCTTGTATCAAATCCGAATTAAGCCTTATGCATAAGGAATGGTAGTTGTAATATAAAATAAATTACCTAATAGTCAGTTGCCCTCACAAAGAAATATCTACAAAAATATCGACATAGTCTCCCCAATAAAGGGGCTCACAATCCAAATATCCATGAAATGCAAATGCTCCAATCTATAAACTACACCCCAAATTTCTAAGCTCCAATTGCAAAACATACACTGTCCAATGTAGATAGTGTTTCGACCAAAACTAATAGCTGCGCAATAGATTTAAAAAAAAATTATGATGAATTTTAAAAGAATTCTACAAATGGGGCATTTTGAGCATGAGACTACGTACAAATGGGACTACGTACAAAGGGTCTTCGCATTCACCAAAACTGAACTCACGGAGCTCGAATTTTCGAACTACGGCATCCCAAAAAAAAATTAAAAAAAAAATACCACACCTCGCATTGTATTATGAAATGCCAAGATCCGAGCTCGGATAATTTATGGCATCCTTCGGATCCAACAGGGTTCGGATCTGTCTCAACGGATGATCAGACGAGCCCTCGGATCCGGGTGAACAACTTTGGATCCGAGCTCGGATCCAATAGATCCGAGTTCGGATCCGTCTGTGTTGAGTCTTATCCGACCTCGGATCATGCTTTTCCTGCACTAATTGCAGAAACGGCAAATAAACTGCTCCTACATTGGAGAGTCCAAACATTGTACGAATTCGAAAAACATCTAACGTTTATCCTCAAATCCACCACAAAAAATGCAAAAATAAGCACAACCCACGTCAAATTTAAACCCAAATTTCACCACAAATCTGAACTTGTCTTGGATTCAGGTATTCAAGTATTAATTAAACTTAAAATGCTATTACTGAGGCATTGCAAGTGAAAAAGCCTAACCTTTATGCTGTTGGAGAGTTGGGACTGAAATTGTGGACAATTTTTGGCAAGCGGCACGTGCGGAACCAGTCTTTGGAAGCTCCGCTCAGCCCGGTCCTTGGATGCTTCGATGTGCAGAAACCACCTCTGTTTTCTTTGTTGTGCTTTTACATACAATTCCGAATTCTGTGTTTTTCTGTTCGACAGCTATAAAAGGCACTTCTGCTTCGTCTGTTTGCTTTTGTCTTTTTTTTTCGAAATGGAGTGTTGGCGGTGGAGCTTAGTACGAGCTCGCATCCTCAGAATGCGAGCTCAGTGAGCTCGCACTGAGCTCGCATTCTCAAAATGCGAGCTCAGTGAGCTCGCAAGACCCCAATTCTAGAAAATCATTCACAATACGCCCTCGTTGTAGAATCATTTTTTTTCCATCACAATGTAAGAATTCACCCATTTGTATCTTGCTTCCGTAACGTGTGTAAGATTATGAGGATGATCATCAACAAGCAGGGATCGGCCGAATTTGAGATCCCTGAACAACTTAATTTGGGGAATGCACCAAGGATGCAAAGAGTAGTCGCAGTCGCGGCAATGATACATCCAAGTATTTGGATTGATTTCTTCTTCACAGAGAACACAATAGAATTCTTCAGGATGATCGAAATACGGAGGATACACTAAAATCAGCGGGTGCTTGTCCCATCTCTGCTTGGTTGCAGGAGGCAGCAGAGCACATTCATAGTCCAAATAGAAATGGCAATATTTACAGGCAAACACAAAACCATCACTTTTGGTGCCACAAGCATTGCATTTTGTGGGATCAGAACTTCCATATTGAGTCAAGAGGTGTTTATGAGCAGCGTGTACGACATTTGGGATCATGCTAGCACTAGCACACTTGATACAGAAACGTAATTCACAAGAGTCGCGATCGCATTCATAAAATTCACCATTGCTCTGTCTTTGGCAAGCATTGCAGACGAAATGACCAACAGCATTCGCTTCATACCTTAACAAGAGCGGGTGCTCGGGATGTTTTGTGATTTGCAACTCACTGGGGAGCTTATAACAAGTAAAATGGACGTAGTAACCACATTCGACGCAAGAATAGTGAGGATCAGATAAGGAAATAGGCTCAATGCACCAATCACATACTAATGTTATAGCTTCTTCCTTGGTACCGTTATTCTCATCTTGAATTTGCTCCCTCTTGGAAAGAATAACTGGATGTTGGTGTTCTTCTATAAATATTTTTTCTTCAGCCTTCAATTCACCTGAACTACTGCTACTTTCATCTGCCTTGTTAAGCAAATGGCTGATCAATTCTTGGGCTGCATGACTTGATGGTAGTTTCACCACATTTTTCTTGGTAGCACATTGATCTTCCAAATCTAGTTCTCCTTCCCTAGAAATTAAATCCACAAGACAATAAATTCAAAGGATATGATGTCACAACATTTCATCACAATTAAGGAAATAAAAGGGCAACAAATAGCAACAAAGGATAGAAAAGCTCTTACGAGATAGAGTATTTATCATCTTCATTTTTCTGCTTGGTATTTTGAGAAATCATGATGCATTTGATATGAACGAAATATCTGCAGGGGCCACAATAATAAACCCAATAATGGCGATGGATCTTTCCATGGCAGACAGGGCAATACTGTCTAAAACTACGATGCTCAGAAGGAACAGAATAAGCCAGCAACAATGGATGATTGTGATCCTTGTGCTGCACAGTTACTGGTAGCAACGCACATCTCTTGTGGATCCAAAATGGACAAACAGTACACAAATACGACGAATCTTCACCTACCATACAACAAGCATTACAGTGGAAAGTAGCCGATCTTTGTTCTATAACAGGGTGGTCATGGCATTCGAGCTTAATTTCCCAGTCTAATGTAGCGCATGATACATCTAGTTCAAAGTGGCACAAGTTACACTTGTAGATGAAAAACTTCCAACCCTTTTGGCCACACAAATCACACATACAACCATGAGAAGAATTAGTGGGCTGCCTATGGAGTATGAGTGGATGCTGGGGATGAATGGGATGTGTGATTTTAGGAGGAAGTTCAGCACATCTTTTCTGAAGAAAGAAATCACAATGGAAGCAACAGTAGGCTGTGGAGTCTGAAATTTGTTTTTGACAGCCATAACAGATTACTAGTTTCTGGTCAAGTTCACCGTCATGTTTCTTCCACAATCGACTCAGGATTAGAGGGTGTTCCTCGTGACTGAAATGATTAAGTTCTTCCTCCATCTCTGTTTTTTTACAATGAAAATCTTGTGTATTTTGGGTTTGTACAGGTAACCAAAGAGTTTGGTAGCTGAGTGTGCATTGAAATGATATTCAACTCCTTTCTTGAATTGACTAAAGAAAATTTTCTTTTTATTTCTAAATTAAATAAAGGAAGACATTGGTTATTGGTAGAAATATTTGAGAAAGATAAATAGAGATTATTTTCTCTTACAGAAATGTTGCTTCTCAGTTTTGTGTTATTCAAATAGGAAGCCCGTAAGGAAAACAATAATCAATGACTAAAAAGACTTATTTTCAATGTGTAAATATTTTATATACTGATAGTGTATACATTAACGGATTTATATATAATGCATATGTAAAATTTGATATTCAATTGATGCAGCATGCATCTAATCACGTAAATCTGCACATTAATAGTGTAGAAAAAATTAATTTATTTTCAATATATCAAATAAAATGTAACAAAGATGCAAGAGCACTACCAATAATCTTGCAATCAAGTCTATTATACGAGTATGACGAGATGCAAAATGTTATGGACTTCAATTTTGTGGCTTGGACATCATTCGTGGCCATTGAACTCGGAAAATGTCTACTCTTTGTTCGGCCATTACAGCCGTAGTTGGACCCAACTTCACCTTATTCCAACAACTTTTTCTCTTCTTGAAGTTCGGCTTTCTAAAAAGGGGCATTTCAATTTGATTCACTTACTTTTTCTTTTCTTGAGGTTTGGCTTTCAAAAAAAAAAAACCAAAAATTTACCAATACTTCATTTCCGTTCACATTTGCTTTGCTTGTTTTTCCTTCCGATTTCAATTGTTCCCAATTTGCCGTATATGGAGAAATAAAAGTATCAAATTAGAGTGTTAGAAAAAAAAAACTCTTATGATGCATTTAAACATGCAATTCTGCTATTTCATTTTTTTATTCTTAATATTTTTTATTGTGGTTGTAAAGAGTGTTAGAAATTAAAAAAAAAAAACACTTTTCCCTTTCGTTTTTGAAATCCATAGACCTCCCACTATTGGGACCAGGCTTTCCGTTTTATTTTGTTGCCGTATTAATGTAGTTGGAGTTGAGCATATTTTGAACAAGTATAATGAACCATTGAGCTTGGCTAAGTGGCCACCAAGAGGAACTTTAAATCCCTCGCTGTAGGTAGGGGTTCAAATCCCACCTGTAACAAAAAAATCGAACTTTAAGTCCCTCTTTGAACTGTAGATAGAAGTTCAAATCCCGCTTGTAAGAAAAAAAAAAAAAATCTAAGAGTAGTGCCATAACACTCTCTCGATCTAGTTAAGTCTGCATATTTTAGAGTAGGGTTTAATTATTATTTTTGCCAAAAAAAAAGAACAGGTATAATGCATATCTTGAAAAGAGAAAATCATTCAAAATGTCTCTAATATTTTGTCAAATGAACTTTTTATTCTTCACCTTTAAATAGTAACTTTACATCCTTTATAAAATCATGTTGATAAAATTTAATCCTAACTTAGATTTTCAACCCTTTTTTTTTTTATCTTGAATGCATCATATAACCCACATATAGTCATTTTTTAGGGGTAAAAAGATTAGATCCCATTTATAATTAAACAAATAATCCGATTCATATTTATTTTTGCACCTAAAATATGATTTGACCCGAATTATATTCATTTTCCTCCCTAAAAAAATGAGAATTCATATTTATTTCTGTTTATGAAAGAGTATAATTTGACCTTTTTATACATAAAAATTATTGCATGTGGGTCACATTTTAGGTTAAAAAGTGGCTGAAAACTTAAGTTATGACCAAATTTTACAAACTTAAATTTATAAAGGACGTAATTTTGACATTTTGAAAATAAAAAATAAAAAAAGTATTTAACAAAATTTGAGGGATGTTGAGAATGATTTTCCCTTTGACAATGATCTGGCGTGGGATCTTGTGTGCCTGCAACTGCTGAAACGATTCGGCTCTGAGTCCGATTCAGCGTCCAGGTGGATCCCGGGACGATCCTCTGACGATCAGTTTTATCGCATAGTTGATATGCTGCCTTTTCATGTTCAAAGGTGGGGCAGTCACAAAGTTGCTTCTTTAGCCAAATGATTCCTAACCATTTGTGTGACCCATTTCCTATAAATAAAAAAGCCTCACGACAATTAAAATTAACATTTTACAATTTATTATTTTAAGTAAGAAAAACCTTGATTTTGTTCTGAAATATTCCTTCTTCTTGTTGTATCCTAGAAATAAATTATCACGACCTGGAAATGAATTACTGGGTGTAGCAGGAGGAGAACTTTCAACCCAGTCCATATGTTCGGATCCACAATTCCTTCTAGTTTCATTTACCCGGATCCAAATTATATACATCCTAATGTATTTACATCTTTTGACCTGTTTTGAACTCAGATTCAATTAATAAAAATATATAAATAAATTAGTAATATATAATTATTATAATTTTTTCCTAATCCACGTGTTTCTCTTAGAAAAAAAAGAGATGTCCTATTAATCAAGTAACTGTGGGAATATATCTCAATATTGTATTGAAACTATTTTATTAATAAATTTTTTGTAAATGTAAAATATTAAAATCATTAAAAATTTACTATATTGAATTAATTAAGCTAACCGTATATATCTCACTCGTATCAGGATCTAACCGAAACAAGATTCAAAACTACATATGAAGACGCATCGGCTAATCAAACCCAGATCCAGAATAATTATTGCTTACCGGATCCGAGTTGGTGTCACCAATTGGAAGCAATTATTGTTGACATCCGTAAGTGGAAGCAATTGAAATCTTAAGCATAATGTAATAATGTCCCAAGAAATCATTATCGAAACTCTATTTGCTTGTGTTCAACTTAATGTTTTAACTTTTTGTACTTTTTGTTAGCACTTTGTCTACAACCTTTGACAAGTCACCATATTTGAAATCTGAAAAGAGAACCTTGCCCCTTTGGTATTTATTTGTCTGAAAAAATTAGAGGTAAAAATTGAATTTGTTGTGGTATAGAACCTATGAACCAGCTGGGAATGGAAGAGTAGTGCTGAAAGTAATTGAACTTTTAATGGATACTCAAATGAATTGCAAATTCAATTGAAAGAACCACTAATTTTATTGATGAACTTCAAATTGGATACAGAAACAGATTTTGGCGGGAAAGGGAAGAAGGGGAAAAAGAATGCAGGAATTTGGGGAAAAGACAGAGGGAATACTTCCTCTCTGATTGCAGAATGAATTTAGACAAAAAGCTGCCTATCTATTACACGATCCAAACATTTATAGAAATCATCCTAACTAACTATTTTTCCGTAACCAATAAGCCAATGACACGTGTGGTAGGAATCTCAGGTTGTTTGGATTCCAGTTCTTGTACAGAAAGCATGAGCCCAGAATGGGCGTGTTTCATCAGTCGCGCCTTTGCCGCTTCTCCCGCGCCTTCTCCTTAGCTGACTTCGCGCCTTCATCCTTTTGCTTCCATCCACTTGTCTTTTCTCGTTGGTTCGCGCCTTTCCCTGCCTGTCCTTGCTATTCCCACGCCTTCCCCTTTGTGCTCTCCACGCCTTCTCACTTTCAGCTACCTACTTCATTACAGAATTCTTGAATTATTTGGTTACGATACGATTGAAAAGTAAGTGATAACTAGGCATCTCAAGTTGACAAGTGAGTTAATATAGGGTAGGATATAGATAAAGCGACGAAAAAAAAAAAGTTGGCAATTGGGATGAGGTTAGTATGCGTGCGAGTGGGTTCACGGTTGGGGATTAGGGCAGGGATGGGGGTGAGGGTGGAGGTGGTGTGGTGAAGAGTATGATTCTTGATAATGGCAAAAAGTTTTGGCTCTCGAACCTTAATGATATTATAGTTTAGGCCCTCTTTAATTATAATTTGTATATTTTTAGCCCCTAAACTGTTAAAAAAACATGATTTTATGGCTCTTCAATCAATTCAAAATGTTAATTCTAACGGAACATAGTTCAAAAAGATGTAATTTTAATCTTCCTCTCTCTCAAATTAGGCCTGATGACCAATACAGATATTCACCACTGATCAACAACCGCGACTGCCAGCAATTTGGACATCGAACATCATGTTATCATTATCAAAATTTGATGAAATTACACATTTAGACTTCACTTTTTGCATAGTTTTCAAATTTGGATTTAATTTTCAATGGATATCCCAAGACAAGACGAGATAAGATAAAGATGGTGGTTCTATTACCATTTTACGTACATATCTTTCACCAAATCTTTTGAATTTTATATCAAAATTTCTCCGGTGCATGAAGACTTGAAATCAAGATAGAATTTGACATGATATACACGAAATTTACCAGATTCATTTTTGCACTATTTCAAAATTTTCTGGTTATTACAAGACCCAATATACGTCAAAACTTTCAATATTTTATACCTCTTCACGTCGGGAAGAGTCAGAATATATATATGGCTTTACTATTCCAATAGCAAAGCTTTTCATTTGGGATAATATCAAAAACCTCCCTGAGCTTTGTTTTAATATCACCTGGCACCTTTAAACTTTTAAAAATATCACTTACCTCCCTTATTGTTGTTATTTGTTTAAAAAAAATTTAAAAATCCTAAACTACCCTTTCACTTGCTAAATAAAAATGTTTCTAAGCCACTTTGTTTCATTTGAAGAAAACTATCACCTCAAAAATAATCTTTTGTAGTAGTACCATATCATAATGATATACCCCATAAAAATATAAATTTGAAAAATAAAAAAGAAATTTGAAAAGAAATACACTTGCATCAATTTAACTCTATATGTTCAAAACTGATTTCTTATGAATTTATATTTTTTTCTAACATCTTCTCAACCCTTGCTCAAACCATTAAACTGTACAAATTATTATAAGAATCAACTCAAAATAAGCAAATAAATCATACACCACTTTATCATAATCACAAAAAGTAAAAGATAAACAAAATTCAATTTATTATAATTGACAAATAAAATATTGCATAGTCATTC